ACCACTTTGCCAGTGCATGTTGGGGTGAATTATCTCACTGACTATATAAAATGACTTTGACTGCAGTATGCACGTGTACAGATGCAGCGAAATGACCATGGATACATTGTGCAAACCCATGGTTCATGGATCTCATTTAGTTTGGGGACATTTCATGCGGTTAAAAGAGATGTTTGGGTTCCATCAGTCCATTAGCGTTTGATTTGTTTACCGTTCTAGTCAAATTGGGAAACTGGTGACATCCCATATAACTTGGGTGTGGGAGGATAGCCTGGATAGACGTGGAAAAAGGTTTTTCTAGTGGGTGTATAAGATTTTAGACCGTTGCATATTTGTCAGCTGCTCGCGAGCCGTGACTGGGGTCGAAAATTTGACCCATAAGATATTGGAGCGTAGATCCAACTCAGATAGAGCATCGATGCACCCTTATGGGCTCGTCTACCAACTCATCACTTGAGATTTGGATTTAACGTTTTGCCCCTTGATGCTTGTCGAGATTGGCTCTCGACCCGATGCACTCGATGAGACAGGCGGATAGTGGTCGGGATGGCACGTTATTGGCTGGAAGCATCCTAGCTTGGGAGAGGGAGTGAGGAAAGGGAACTGACAGTTGTCCAGCAAAGTACGAAGACTTCTCCCACCGTCTGAGGACGGCCCAAAATAACCTGCTCCTTCGTTCATCTAGGGAGCCATTGGCCTGTAATCGACTCCTTCTCGTGTGTCTATTTACTGGATGAAAGTCGATGGTGAACTGAATCCGGGAGCTACCTGAATTGTTTTCCTTGTTAGATTGAGTTTTGTCTGACCTGTACCCATCAACCTTTCAGGGATAATCGGCGTTTTTACTCTCTTCTTTTACCATTTGTTGTATTCAATCATTTTCGGAACGTAGTTGCATCAGGTTAACCAGTTGGATGTATTAATCTTTCAGACGAGACACCTTCGCCCATTTGGCTTCTTGGCTGGAAGATGCCCGACAACATTCCAGTTCCAATATGGTCATCACCCTGATCGGAAACAAATGTGATTTGGACGCTCGACGTGAAGTGGAACGAGAGGAGGGCGAGGCGTTCGCTCGCGAACACGGACTGTTGTTCAAAGAGACCTCGGCTAAAACTGCCGTCAATGTTGAGGAGGCGTTCGTGTGCACTGCACGGGCCATTTACGAACGTTTGCAGGACGGCGTGCTCGATTTGAATAATGATGTAAGTGTTTACTCATAGAGGATTTGCACGTTCGCCACACATCAATGGGAACTTTTCCTCACTGTCGTGTGCATCAACTGATCTTTCTGTCGACTGTATATCCATGTGACAAGTTAGTAGTACCAGGCACTCAGTGCATGATTTACGTTAAACTCTTCACCACACCAGTTAAAGTGTGAACTGTGTTTGTGTACATTCATTGGTTTTGGGAGTTTTGTGACTGTTCCCTTTGCGTGAGAAATATCGTGCTCTATTCGATTTATCGATTACAATGCACAGTTTACGTTCACGGGCCCGACTCAGACCCCAGTTGAGAACAACCATACACATTCTGTCTGCGTCTGGAAATCACCTGTTCTTGACTGTGGTATTTTTGATTCATCTGTGAAAACCCGTTACAATAGACAACAGACACTAGTTACTGAATGATTCGTTCTCCTGGTGAATAAGTTATCACCGGACGTTCTGTGAAATCTGTCAAATACTGTGTTGGGTTTTGAGTAAGAATAAACGTTAGTCTCTCATCCTAAACGCACTAAGAAACGGTTTGCATATTTCAACTTAATTCCCATAGTATCATCTGGGTTTGTATGCCGTTGACGAGTAGTAGTTTTCATTCTCCTCCCCATCCACTCCAATCCCCGGGAGCCCCTAGAGA